ACGAGACAGTGACATGAAAGTATGTCAATCAGAATCAAACCGGAATCGATAGGGAATGACGAGAATAATGATAAAGCACTTGATTGTGATTACCCCCAGATATATATAATACGAAAGGCAACAAAGATAGTGAAGCAATTGTGAGGGTGGTTATAACATATTACAACAAATACGTCATAGAGATTAGGAAGAAATTCCAGTATCGAATCATGAAGAGAAAATGACAATAACAGATATATGTCATTATAACGTCCTCATTTCTGCATATGATGAATGGCAGTGAACTAACGAAACAACATATGGTATGCTTCCTCTGGAGCGGTTAAGCCATTTTACATTATGGGTAGGAACTGGTGATGCATCAATTCTGAGAGGCATAAGCAGGATATTGGCGCCAGGAATACACGTAATTTACATCCGTCTATACATTGCTATCATATCTTGAAAACAGCCTATGTGTCGTTGACTCCTTTACACCTGACCATGGAACTTATACCCATGGATATACATACAAATATCTATATTTTTTCCCTTCTATAGGTGGGATTAATTCATGAGTCATAAAAATAAGAAATGTTAACCTGGGGAATTAGGATGCCCATCTGGGGTCATAAAGGAAAAGGCTACAAAAAGACCCCACCAGAACGAAAAAGAATAGTACGGATGGTTAAACATCTTTAAGCACAGGGAAAACGTAATTACCAGTATATGCTGATTCAAATTAGAAGATTGTTCATTTGGCATAAAGATGTGCCCCCTTAAATTACATAGTTTCTCATGAGGGGTTTCCTCTATGCATATATAAAGGGAGTATTGAACTGTTGAATTTGAAGTGGTATAATATGAGTTCTAATTTCACATTGAACTTTAATTGTATGTTGCATACCACTGAGAGGGCTGCTATACTGTTTAAATGTGTCTATTCCTTCTTGTGGAAACCCCTATGAGTGCAATGGAATAAAGATATGCTGATGCAATGAGTACAAACTGAAATGGTGGGCCGTCGTGTCTATATGGCTTCTTTTATAATTATCTTATTTTTGTGAATGCGTCCTCATGGCTCATCCTCTCTGTCAGTGTGTTGTTTTATGTTTTGATATCTTAACCAGTATCCCCCCGCATGTTGCATTATTCCTATGTATTTTTTCTCATGTTTCAGCATTTTTATGAGAGTATTTTTTCATGGGGCTCCTTTCTTATATATGCGTGTTCATGTGGGCGAATTTTGAGAACGTCGTCTCACGTGGGATAATTTTCGCGGACGTCGTTTCATGTGGCCTAATTTCCGCGGACGCCCTTCCATGTGGCGTAATTTTGCAAATTTGCCTTCATTTGCCGTTTCTTGCGAAGGTGATTTCTGCTGGGCTAATTTTTCGCGGACGCTGTTCCATACTGCGTAATTCCTCGCGCACGCCTTTCCATGTGTTGTAATTTCTCCACGACGTAGCTTCATGTGGCTTAACCTTGTCAGAGTTGTTTCATGTGAATCAATTTTTGGGGGGGCCCACTCATGTTTTATATCTGTCCCAGGCAAGCTGTTTCGTTTCGCTCCATTATATATATTTCTCTATTTAATTTTTTCATGAGGATGCACCTTTCTGCCGCATTCCCTTCACGAGAATTTTTGGAGGGTTCCTTTATGATGACATCCCTCGCAACATCCTTATGAAGATACCACTTTTGCTGGCATTTTTATGAAGATTCCTTCGCCTGCCGCATTTTTATGACGATTTCTTCTGTGTCGTTCTTTCATGATGCTTTTTTTTTCTACATTTTAATGATGCTCTCTGTTCGAGTCATTGCGCTCCCCTCGTCTTACGTCACTGTGATGTGTATTGTTTCGCGGCGGCACTGTGATGCTTACTGTTGTGCCGCGGTAGTATGATGCTCTCTCTCTGTGTGTTATTTTTCTAAGGATCCTTATATCTGGCATGTGACTATAATAATGCTCCTTTGTGTTACATTTCTGCACAGCTACACTGCTCTTGTTGCGTCAATATGAAGATCTTTCTGTGTGTTGCATTTTCTTCAGGATGATATTTCGTGTTCCATTTTTATGAAGTTTTCTTTTTCTATGGTGCTTCAATGTGAGGTGTCTTTTCCCTGTAGGCCATCCATTTCTGCAAGATTCATTTTACCGCGTCGTACTTCTAATATATTTTCTTGCTCGTCATTCTTATAGGGACAGCTTGTTTCGCCGTGTCACTATTAAGATTCCTGTTTGTGTTTCATTTCTTTCCTGACGATAGTTTCTTCTTCGGGTGTTCCGATGAGGTTTCTTGATCCATGTCATTATGGGAATTCTTCTTCGTGTGGCATCTTCCTTAGGAAAAATTTCCTTACCGCGTTATATTCATGATATTCTTCTGCTTCGCTGCTTTTTAAAGATGCCTCTTCCTTCTACTATGCTACGGCCAAGATCTTCTCGCGAGGCCTTCTTTTCATGAAGATATTTCTCTTCCGCGGCATACTTAGGATGCTATCTTCCGGCGGCAGTTTCAATATATTGTTTTGTGTCATTTGTTTCATATGGATGCTCCCTTCTCCCGCGGGATCGTGAAGATGTTTTTCTGTGTCTCATCTTCTCTACGATGATGTAACCTTTTTCGCGGCCTTCTGAAGATGTCCTCTCTTGTGCGATCTCCTCTCTTGTGCGATCTCCTCTTTTGTGCGATCTCCTCTATGAAGATGCCCTTTTCCTGCGGCATGGTTAAACTGGTGTCCTGTTCCTTATTTTTTTTATGAGGATGCTCTCTTCTTCTGGTATCTTCATGATCTCCTTTTGTGCCGTCATCTTGAACATGTCCCTTTGCCCCGATCATTCTGAAAAGGTTTCCTCCTCTGGCATTATCGTGAAGATGCCCTTCTGGGTCTATCCCTG